GGCCCAATTTTGGGGTTCCACTCTAATGTTGGGCCTCGTTTAGTGTTGAGGCCATCTATAATGTGTTTTGGGGCCGCCTTATTCAGGATCACGCGAAATGATTTTGAAGCCCACTTCCGTGGGAGGCTTAGGGGCCCTGTTGAAGGACCGTAATTTCTTTTTTCTGGGGGGCCCTAGGGCGGGGGGGGAGAGGGCAGATTAAAGAGGTAAGCTCGGGAGAGAGTAGGGTACACCAGGAGTTAAGTGTCAGGTTAGTTGAGGCCTAGGGCTTGAATAGGGGCTCAAGGCCTTGAGTGTGGGCGACCATGGTCTTTTCGAGGCATTGCAGCTTATCCCCTAAACCCTAAACCTTTGCGCTCAGCTACACCGCGAGGTCGATGCTACCGCTCCACCAATACAGCCAGGAAGCCAGCCCCGATGCTAGGCTCTCACTTTAGGGTTCAGGGGTGGGGCCATCATTGAACTTACAACAACACATGCTTATGATATCCTAGACTTATGAACCGTACACGCCCAACCCGAACCCCTAGCCACCAAACCCTCATCCTTAAACCTTGCAGGCCCTATACACCACACCAAAAACCAAATTGTCAGGAAAACACATCCCAAACTTACAGTCTAAGAATCATGAAACCTGAAGTCTCAACCTGCGCCAAGCCGAAGAAGAAGCCAACGGACCCATAGGCAACCGCACGGTCAGATGGGTTGAACGCAATCCTCGGAAAGGTCTCCCGGGGCTTGGCGGATAGGGCTTGACTTCAGCAGTTGCAAAATACGTTGAAGACGGTGGAGGATTTCGGGTCAGGTGTGTCTGAGTCGTAGTCAAGACTTTGTATGCTCACACTTAATCAAGGTCAGACGGAACTATAGTCCTAAGTCTTGTGAGACCCAGCACAGTTCAGCAGCACATGTTGCAGATCGTTCCAGTGGCACCTGCAACTTCTCAAAGGAGCTATTCCATGCGACTCAGTTTGGCTGCAGGAACCCACCCACTATTACGGCCCCGGTAGAAGGCCAGAAAATCAGCGAATAGGTCCAGAATTAGGGGTTCATGGGACCCCAAATTGAAAACATGTTTCACACACTGCTGAAACATCCGCGCACAACAACCCAACCTATAGTCTGAATGCCTGCTGTCTTCCTTCTAAGTGAGGGGAATCACGAACCCCTAAATCCAAAACCCTTACTCTATGTTTCTAACTCTTGGTGTTTTTCATTCAAGCCTGGCCTTTCTCGTGGGGCTCCAGCCTAGGATACATCTTTAAGTGTCCTCTCCGACAATCAAGTCCCTCACCGCAATCACAACTTTTCAGATGAGCCCTGGACTAAAGTTTTAGTATGTTCCTTTTCTATTTCCCCCCAAACCCTGTATAGGCAAATCATGAAATATACATATATATATATATATACATATGCATTTGTCCCCCTGTAGGTCCACCCAACCTAACTTTAGTCCGTAGCTGACATCTGTCCTGATAGAGCACTAGCAAGAACGTCTGGTGGGAGGAGTGCCATGGCTTCTGAAACCCCTTAAACTCCCCACCAGTGATGGCTTAGGTGGACCCCCACCGGGCAATAGTAACTACAAAGAATAATGGTAAGTATAGTAGGGTCCTCTCATATTCCTATCATGTCACCATTGCAGGGTGGGGGGTCCACCTAAGTCAGAACTGTAAAGGATGCTCATATTGTCAACAAGCATCCATGCGTAAGCTGGCACGGAAATCACCAGGACATAAAGCGCTCCGACCAGAACGCAGATGCCCACGCCATACCTTGTATATGTGCTACCATACTGCTAAGACCCTCGTTCTTTTTTGGATAGCTCAGCTCAGCTGAAAGAATGTTCCGTGGATAGAAAACTTTTTTTAAAAAAAAAGAAGGCAAGGCAAGAGCACAAGCCTCCCAGGCCTTGAATAGTGATTTAACTGGACTTGGAGGGGTTTACGGGCTTGGGGCTTGGGTTTCCGGGGGGTTTCGGGGCGGGGCTTAGGGTTTAGCTCTGAGTTCAGGTGATTCCCTCCGGTTGGCCCCTGTGCTGTTCCTGCTGATGACTATGATTGTTGGTACATGTCCTTGTATGATAGCCAAAATGACCAGCAGATCTGTGGAGAGGTGCATGTTTCATGATAGGGCGTTTTGGGGCTCCGGGTGTTTGATTGTATATCCGAAGCCCTGTAGCTTCTCCTAGCTTTGGGATTTTGACCTCCCTGTAATCCGGCCCAAGCCTAGCATAGTCACTGGAACTTTGGCGTGGGCGTTGCGTAGTTACTATGAATACGGGGAGCCAAATACATGTCTCATCATACTATCACCTTATTATGGGGGGGGCCTGACAACAGTATCCACTATCTATTTCCAGTGTTCATTGCATGTTCCATTTGATTCTCCATGATTCCATGATTGGGATGATATTCATAAACCGTACACCTGGGGAAACTCCCATTTCCCCGGAAATCCCTTCTTGCTTCAGGGGCCCAAGGCGACATGGCATGTCGGGATAATGTCGGGTTTAAGGTGAGTTATACAAGTATATATCAGCTTCAGGGATTTGGAAATCCAAACCTCAACAAAATGGTATGCATCCCAAGACATGATCCACCAGCTGAGGGTCGAGGTACCCAAATCGAATATGCCCATCTCGGCCCAAAGAATATGCTGGACGCATCTTAGGCTACGGTGCTTTCCAGGGTATATAGCCTTGTGGGGTTACATGTTGCCCAGAACAATCAACGATTACTTGCTACATAATTACGGCACAGATTCCGCAATGGACAAGTAAGACATACAGCGTCAAACCTAGACTCCAAAGCTTCAGTAGGAAACCCTGATTACAACCCCGTAAACCCAAACCCTACTCTAAAACCTAAACCCCTAAGCCCTAAAACCCAAACCCTGCTCTCTAAAACCTAAACCCCTAAGCCCTAAAACCCAAACCCTGCTCTCTAAAACCTAAACCCCTACGCCCTAAAACCCAAACCCTACTCTCTAAAACCTAGACCCCAAAACCTTGGCTGTTGGGTAGAGCACCTGTCAGTTACCAGGGCCGCCAAGGGCGTGATCGCCAGCCCAATCCTTGGACTCCAGAGATTTCCTGGACCCCCCAAATGTGGATAAAATCATGGCCACAAGCCCCAAAACGAGTCCAAAAGGCCTCTAATCACATAGCTTTGGGGCTAAGACAGGGGTTAGGGTCGGAGTGTAGCTTTTTTTCTCGGACCCTTTTCCGAATGCATGGAGAATTTAGGTTTTGGGGTTTACGGATCCGAGTTCGGAGTTCGCGGTTTGGACTTGTTCCTTCCAGCCTGGAGCATTCCAGCACACAGCGAAAGAAGAGGATTCCGTTTGAGGCTTGGGGATGGGGGTTTAGGGTTTAGAGCTTCAATTTTGCCCCTCAGCTACCATGGAGGGCCCTGTACAGGTGTCTGCCCTTTTATACAGGGGAGTCCTAAACTCAGCCCTACCCTAAAGCCCTATGGGTTCATGTTAAGTTGAGCTCAAACGGACGAGGCTTTGATTCCAAGCAGCAAACATCAGCAAACAAGAGTTTAGGGTTTAGGGTGTAGAAAAAGAACTAGCTGGCCACGTATCCCTAGAATGCCCTAAACCCTAAACCCTAAACCGCGTGGCTCTCCATGTCTTACGAATCACCCTTGAGGTTCGTTAGGTGCGAGACTCAGCTGGCCACATACCCCTAGAATGCTCAAGTATCCCTGCCTAAAGAACCTTAGCCATTTTCCTTAGATCCAAGAGGCAGCTGGCAAGAATTTCCCACCCACAGGTTGTCCGCTGCATGAAGCTCCAAGACCGAGGAAACCGTCCAAAAGGGCGGAGCGAACCTGAATCCACATGGGCTTCTGGTGGAATTGTGGTAGCCAGAAATAGAGGGAACCCAAATAGACCACAAAAAATACTACGTATATGGGAACCCCCAAGAAGGTACCCCTAACTTTGGGGACCTCCTTTTAGGGTAGCACAAAAGAGTCTAGCGGGCCCATGGCCCTCTGCAGTATACGTAAAAGGTGTGAGGCACATATTATGGGTTTTGCGCTACAGAAGCTAATCATTGTGAAAAGCCTTTGATAGCCTCATTGATGAAAAGCAAACAAGATCCCAGTATACCATCAACTGCAACCCACACCCATACCCATTTTCACAGTACCCTGCGCTCCCTTCACAGCCTCAGACTTTGAACCCCTAAGCCCTTAATTTGGGCTAGCTGAAGACTGGAAGCCACATAGTGGCGGTCGCGAAGCAGGCCCCAAAGCCCACCAGTAAGCTGAGCGTATGGTCCTCTCCACTTGAGCAAAGTTTTTTCCTTATAAAGTTTCTTATGCTAACATGGAGGGCCTACGCGAACTACGTGGAATGGTTGTTTTCCCTGAGGACGAGACTACGCCGGGATACTCTTGCTATTCAACTGACTGCGCGGACTACTCGCCACACCTGGCCTACACAACGTTCTACGCACTATGTCTTATGAAACATACAAACTACGCAGACTACGCAGGCAAGATAACCTACACGTGACTACGCGAGACTACGCCCTGCAGGCCCAAGGCTACGCAAGCACTCTTGCAGCTTCACGGCCATCATAGCTCTTTCATGCAGAAAATAACGCTGCTCACTTGGAAAAGGGGAAAATGGAAGAAGAAGCCATGGAGATCTAGTACATCCATGCGATTTTAAGCATATGGCACCGACATGAGAGCAGCAGCAGTCAGTGTGTGTCGTCATGGGACTCATCCGTATGCAACCCCGCTGCTTTGGCATGTCGCATTGCAGCCTGTTGCCGGTGTCTTTAATCTTCTGCTTTGCAATGAACAAGTAAACGCGATGAATGAGCCGAGCCACTTCACTTGAGCCCCTCAATCCCAAAAGCCGAAACCCTACGCCCTACTCCCTGAACCCCGAACAAACCCCTCTATCCCTAAACCCAGACCCTAGACATCCCAATATCACATCTCAAGGGACCTAAATCATGCACAAAGCGGCCCTGCCTTGATCAGCTCCACAAAACCAAAGCCGCTTTTGGATGTTGCGCCTCGGTCTGGGAATGGGGTGTAGAGGGCTTAGGGCATACTTGTTAGGGCTTAGTGGGGACTAAGGGAATACATCCCTTTGTATAACCCCCATCTAATACATCACATTCCTTTATTCCCTACTCGCCCCCCAGGGTGCAGGGATCGGCCCTCAGGGTTCAGGGTTTGAGGAATTTTGAAGGCGGCCCAATAGTCCCTTCTTGGGGGTTTTGATGCCTAGGATAGGATAGAACCGAATCAAGACACCTTCTGCTGCGATCTCCAAGAAGGTCTCGGTTTCTGGGATCCTGGAGAGACTTCGGCCAGTCGCTCAGAGGGTCTGAGCAGGGATGAAGGCAGTTCGGCATGGCTATGCAGGGCCATGCATGTATCTTACAGCTTCGGGAAGCTGCTTAAGATTCAGTAAGGTGATTTCGCATCGAACCACATGTTCGGGGCTTTATTTGGTATCGGTCAAATGGAATTCATGGACAGGTTTGTGAGAAAAAGGGCCCTGGCATCCTCTGCTAAGCTTCGCTGTCATAGACGAAGATCTTCCCTGAAACTCTTGGCAAAACCCAAAAGAGATGCAGTGTCTCCCATAGGCAGTGCAAAGCAGCATTGGGCCTAGGCATCGGACAGACTTAAACCTTGATGCGGGTCCTGCCTTAAATCACACCCGGCTTTGAGTAGATTTGGAGCTTCCCCCCCTCCACCAGAAACAACACCCCGCATCCTCTTTCGGCCCACCACGGATATGATGCCAGGTATGGCTGCAAGCCTTGGTCTTCAGACTGACTTGAAAGGTTGAGGGTTCAGGGTGGAGCCCTCTCATACACCTTGAACCCTAAACACTTGCTCGGCGAAGGCTGCTTTGAGAGCTGATGGGGTCGCAAGGGGTACTCTTCTGCGAGGAGGGATTCCAGAGTAGTTGCTAAACGTTTGGCCATCACAAAACGAACCAACTAGAAGAGCGCATGTCTTAGCTCTACCGGGTAGTAAGGCGTTGCATGAGACAAAGCAGTCTGAGATCAAGCGCGGTCTGCTGGATATGGTCATTTCCAGTGCAGAAATGGGAATTCCCCACATATGCCAGAAATTCAAAATACCATAGCCTTTGTTACAGGGACTCCCCGAAAGAGGCCCTATTCAAGGTTGCACTGGTGCGGGCTGCCTTCAGCCAAGACGCCCTAGGTTCGGAACCAAACCAAACCCCACATTTTGACCCACATAAACAAAAAAATATGGCTTGTCCAAAATCTGGACCTGGTTTGGGGTTCCTATTATGATCAGGATCTTGCTGTCTGGGAACGCGCTTCATCAATGCCTGTCTGCTTTCATGAAGCATCTGCAGAAACGCTCTTGGAGGACTACAGTGTCTTAGCAAGCCGTATGACATAGTAACTTGGGATAACCTGTTATCCCGTTATCCCAAGTATTACCCTACTTACTACGCGTCCCCCTAGAAATTCCCGTGACCTGCGAAATTTGAAGGAGGCCTGATAACCCAAAGGCCAACACTCCGTGTCGGTACCCAAGGAACTTTTCCTCTCCAATACCCCAAACCCTAAACCCCGGGCGTCCAAGAGTCCCTGTGACCCCAAACTCGCCCAGATGCTCCCTAATCTACAGGGGACAACAGCTCCTTTCACCTGAGCCCTACAGCCTCAACGCTGATCTTCTCCTCCTGAAGCAGCTTAAACCATGATCACCAGGATAACGCTAATTTGTAAGTCTGTGCTGTTCTTACACTAACATACTCAGCGCGCTAATTCTCCACCTCGGAACAGGAAAGGGATGCGCCAGCCCCACTCCAGCATCTGCTGGTGCGTAAGGGCGCTGCTTAACAGCGCCACTAGCAGACCTGGGAGAAAAACCGCAGGTTTTGCACGAGAATTCGGGGCTATGCACGGTCTCTCAAATACGGGCCCCTCAAGGAGGATCCTATGGAGAATATATAGGGGTTACAACGAGAACGTGCGGGAAAACCCCCCCACTAAGGCTCTCACATAGCAATTTCGAGAGACTCCAACAAATAATGTAAACGTTCGGTCTAGGCTGTAGGGTTTCGCATTGCCACTGCCTGAGGAGAGTATTCCTCGAATTCATTCTGGCCAGTTTTCGGGTTCTGTGTCTCATATCTAGCTAAATAAGCGGGACAGGAAACCTGCATTTCAAACCATGTGTGCTGCTGGCTTTTGAGCACATTTCTTCAACATATATCTGTATGACGGAGGCCTTTTGGGTCACTCCAGATTCATCCAGTTTCCCTCATAATGCATCACTCAAGCACGTATGTGGATGATGCTGTGCGGTTTGGGGTTCAGGGTTAGAGGTGTGCATCAGATTGCTTGAGGCGTAAGCTCTTCGTAGCGGCTGGACCAAGTCCCTCAAGCACAACGGCCTAGCGTGCAAATCCTTGAAGGGTGCACATGCTGATGCAGCACCGAGGCCTTCGCAAACATGAACCTTCTTACCAGGTACCTGTATAGGCTCCTCCACTACTTCAGCATGCATTCCTCCACCTTTGCCAGCTGCAATGCTGGATCCCCATCCTGTTATATATGGTTCCTGTAGAACCTGAAGTATTGAGAATTCTTCGTGTTGATTGGTGCGACTCAAATGAGCGCTCATCTCAGTTTGAGCCGATCCGCTGGCAAATGCCCAAGCAATCTGGCTGCCCACGGAAATCCTCAGGCGCTCACTGGATTTAGGGGCAGGAAGGATCGTCCCTGAAGGAGGATGTTCAAATCAAGCATGGTCAACCAAGACCTCTTCTACGGCCCCACTGATTGACAGTTGGAAAAGATTATAACAAAAATAACTGTATATAGCCCTGAATATGACCCTTGCTATAGACTGTTAGTTCAAGGGGGCCAACACCCTTGAAACCCTAAAAATAATGTACACCTGCGCCGGATTAGCTGGGCCGAGCTCGGGGGATCGCATTACCTCAGGGTTTAAGGTTTAGGGCTTAAGGTGCAGCGTTAGAGGGGGAAGCACAGAACTGTCAGGTACCTGGATCTCGGAACTCAAGCCCTAAACTCTAAACCCTACCCCTCCATTAACAGTCTATAACAGGGGGTCATATTCAGGGCTCTATCGGGTCATATTCTGAATATTATCCAACTGTTAATTAGTGGGCTCAGTATCCAACTCATAGTTTTTTAAACCTTGTGAGCCGTAGTCTAAACTCCTTCGTATCCCCCTTAGTAACCCCTATCACACTCCCCCTGACCCCCTTTAAGGAGTTCTCCTAGTATGCCCTTAGTAACCCCTATAATAACCCCCTATGTAACCCCCCTTTAAGTAGTTTAGACCCTAAACCCTGAACCCTCTCTCTCTCTCACCCGTGCTCAGTGCAAGACTGACCCTGAACCCTAAACCTGAATCCTAAACCCTCTGCAACCCCTATATAAACCTCCCTTTCAGGAGTTCAGATCCTAAACCCCCCCACCGGCCAGGCCCAGGGTCATGCAGACCGCCATGCCCAGGGTTTTGATGGGCGAGACCTCGCCAGGCAAAGATCAGGGTTTAGGGTTTACGGTTTGAGGGTTTAGGGTAGGGGTACCCGTCAATGTTGGGTATATATTCGGGTTATAGGGATTATGGAGAAGGAAATGGAAGCTTCTATAGGGTTTAGCGTTTTGGGGTTATATGGGGAGATATAGAGTTTCCTAACTTGTTGGGGTACCATTTTGGGGGTCCTTAGAATATGGCTTAGTGTATTTTGGGGCCTATACTGGGGTCCCCCAATTTCAGGGAAGTAGCATTTAGAGCTTTAACACGCAGCATCGCAGAAGCACAGAACAGGTTTGGATTTGGTGCGGTTTGGGCTGCGGGGTTCGGCTTTCTTCAAAATGAAGAGACTGCGGCGTACAATTCAGATGATCAAGATCGAGAGGCCTCAATGCAGATCCACTTGAGCATGCAACAGTTTGATACCTGCACCACATAGAACGCCGAAACTTGTCCGTGTTTTCGTCTGCTTTCGATCAGGCCGCTTCTCTTAAATAGGTGGCGACCAGGACCGCGCTCACTTTGCAGGGCCCCGAAAGGTATGATGGCATGTTAATTATGAAGGGCAGCAATATTAAACAACAACTTTACTCAATTGCTACAATTTTTTCTGCTAAACATAATTCTTCGCAGTGACCTACCTGTCTGAAACATCTCCATGAGCGTGGCCTCCACCAAGTAGGCCGACACAGCGCCAATCTCGCCGCCTGCAGAGATCCCTTGCAGCACGCGACAACCTGGGACATGTAGGACTTTAGGGTTCTGTAGCCTTGCCCTGGGGATCCAAGTATACCAGTAGTACCTACATTGGGCCCCAAAGTCTGCAAACAGATTTATTTTGGGCTTGTTGGATCCCTCGGGTTGGGCTTAGAAGCTTTCGGAGGCCTGGGCACTGAGGTTATTTGAAGGTTTTTGGCAACATATTTTTGGGGCTCCTGCCTGGCTCCTTTCAGCATGCAAGGATAGTTAGCTAGTCCTCTATTGTCCGGGAATAGTCGGGGCTTAGGGAAGAGTTGAATGTTAGGGAGGCTTTGGGGTGTGGGTTGAAGGAAAGAGAACATGCTATGATGCGGGGCAGGGGAGCGTAAAAATCCACCGTTGCCAAAACCAAGGGTGGCTGGCAGTTTCCTGCTGGGAACTATCTTACCTTCGTTGCGTCGGTGGAAGGGGGCCTCAGCACGCGTCGTGAAGCAAATCATGCTTGAAATCCAGACCCATCCGGGGTCCTCAGAGCCATCTCCCCCAGCTTGATCGAATTCCTGGAAGACGACCTAGAAAGCTCCCCACATCTTCCCAAATCATCAACCAAAAGCCCCGAGTGTGAGCCCTGAACCCTTGAGCTTTCGAACCCCAAGCCCTTAACTGCTTAGAGCATCATGCCAAAAAGTTGCTGGTGGTAAGTAGGGAATTGGTAGGCATGGAACCCTCCTAAACCCTAAACCTTTCCCATAAATCCCAGAAAGCTCAGGCAAGGCTCATACCAGTCCTCCCAAGCCGAAGTGGCGAGCGTCAGCTCCAAAGTATTTACCTGCGCTGCTTACCCAGGGATCCCAAAACATCCCTAGCAAGAACTCAAGGCATGCATCCTAAACTTTACATGAAAAGGCTATTATTTGAAATTTGAAGTTCCAAGACATAAGCAGTTTTGGATTCAGGGCCATTAGTTAAAAGTGGGGTTCCGAGAACTGGATCAAATTCGACGCCGGGAGGTCTGTATGAGCTTCGGTGCTGGTTCCAAATTTTTCAACTCCAACACATGTGCATTTTTAAAAATCAGATCGCCCCATACATCCCCCTAAATACGACAATCCTCGTTGTAGGGTTTTCCCAGAAAATCTGAAAAAGCAGTAGTTCGCACGAAGAGGGGGGCCCAACATAGACCCCAAGATACTACAGTCCTAGTGATGGGGATTATCCAACAGGGACCCTGAACTTTTTGGCAACCCTAATCCTTATAAACCAAAATCTGTAATCCCATTGTCCACTTCATGGTCGATGTTTGTCTCTACTTGATTTTCCGCTATTCGGGGGACAAAGCCCTGTAAATCCTAAACCCTAAGGCCTAAACCCAACATATCGCGTATAATCCCTGTAAACCTCATATGGCCCTATACACCTCATAAGGAAGGCCCCACTCAAACCCCAACCCTAAACCCTAAACCCTACACCCTGCCTGGAAGCAAACCTTGGCCCACAGTTGCCAATATCATGCCACCTCGCAGGGACTTAAAATCCTAAAGCCATGACGTGCCTTGAGAGGTTTTCCATAGGGGTCTATAGGGGTATGCGATGACATATGGGCTACTGTCTAAACTCCTACGATCCCCCTTAATAACCCCAAGAATACACCCCCATATAATCCCCTTTGCCTCGTTTTCTCTTATCCCCACCTGAGTAGTGTTTTGTGTGATTGAACCTAGTAAGATAATTCCTTACTTAAAATACCATGCCCGAAAGGAGGATATAATCTTACTCTATATTGGGTACCATAGTATCCCCAAATAAAAGAAGTACTCACCTGCAGCCTTAGAAACTACACCAAGATGAAGCGCCCCTCAAGCCCTGGAAGATAAGTTGCCAAGGTTGCTCTCGAAATTGCTAGCTGTTTTGCCAGGTTTTGGTATAGGTTGTAGTATGGCAACTGGTACTCCTTAGACAAAATGGGGAAATACATGTGGAACTACTGGGTTTAGGGTTACCCACCAGGTTTCAAGTGCCAAATCTTAAGCCCGGCTGAATCCCCAGACTCTGCTACTACTTACAATGCTTGCTATATATACCCAAACCAATTACATCCCTGCAATGCAGAAGTAGAAGCCTGATAAGGCACCATTCTTATTTCCCAACATTTCTCTCAGAATTGACAGTATCACTGTATCCCAAGGTTCACCACATGCCCCGCGAAAGTAAACAGCGACAGGAACATCCTTAAAGTCCGCGCTTCCCAAACAAGTGGCCCCAATGTGATTTCTCCAAACACCAAGGCGAAGTCCCTGCGCCTAACTTCCACGACCATAATCTGCAATCCCAGTCGAAACAGGCATTTGGAGTTTCCAAACATACTATGGATTCCAGTTAAATCATATACCCCCCCAAGCACTATTCTCCTTGTTCTGAGGCCCCCTCAAAATGGTTACCGCATCGTTTGGGGAAACTTCCACTTGGGATTGTCGAGCCTAGAGAGATAAGGACAGAAAGCTTGCGGCCGCAATTGTCGGCGATATAGCCCAAGAGAAAGCCTGGCATAAGAAGGAGCAGCGAAACCACACGGTTTAGGGTTTGGGGTTTAGGGTGACATGGAAACTGGGGCCATATAGGGATTATGCGAATTGCACTCGGTAACAACAGGATTTGTTAACCCCAACTGAGAAACTCAGCACCTTGTAGCTACCATAAGGCTGAAACAAGGTCCTAATTTTGGCGGGGGTGGGCGTTGGGTCACCAAATTCCTCCCAGAATCTCGAACATTTTCTATAGAATCTCTAGATCGCACCTATACAACCCCAGTATAATCCTTATTTGGACCCAAATCCTCCACGTCAGGGTGGTCAGGTTGGGGCTCGAAGTCTAGAGAAGCAGCGTTAGCATTGTTACTGGTCTTATCACTTTTGTGCCACTTGTATAATTATTACATCATAGTGTTACAACGATTACAATAACAGCCTTCAACGGAAGGGTCCTGTGGGTTGAGGGGTACTCTATACTACTTTGGTTACAGATAAGACTTGTCGGGAGATACTTATTGGTAGTTATTTAGTTTTTTTTGCGGGTTGGGGGCTGGGCTCTTGGGCTTGGCAGACTTCCTTAGCCAGTGCGAAATCCCGCTGGCACGAACTTAACAGTAGAAGCCGCTCCCCGGTGCAGCCTCCCATCGGTCGGGCCACAAAGGTGATGGCAAAGCCAAGCCTCTCAAAATGTGCAGTGCCAAGAAGTTGCAACGCCCAAAGTTGTAGTCATCTAGCCAACGGGGTTGCTAAAGTGATCTGAGTTGTACAGCGCGTTTTCCTGCCTGCATACCCACGCTTTGAATCCTTTCGCTTCCCAAGCCAACATAAGAACCCCAACAGGGGCTCCGCGAAGACCACGGTTCTTCCATAAATGGAACCAACGATTTGGGCTTACAGGTTTGCTTCTGAAGGGTCAAGCCACCAGGCATCTTCAGATGAGCCATCGAAGAAGTTTTCGGCGATCTCCTCTGGCAGCATTGCATGCCGTTGTTTGGGTCGAAGTCAGTTGAGGTTCCTACAATTTGCCAACATCTCCTTCTCCACGTAGCCATAGATGCCAAACTCGTACCACTCCTGGGTCAAGAGTCTTCTGTTGAGGCAACTTCAGCCAAACAAGACAACACAGCCTTTTTCTGGCACACTGCCTCCATCATCACATTGCGATATCCCCACCTGAATGACGCTTTTCCTCCACTGCACATCCCCATGAAACCGGATGCAAAAAAACAAGCTCAAAGCCTACCAGTTAGCACCCAGATTCCAACATGTTCCCGAGGAGGAGAGGCCATGTCAGACTGACGGTTGCAAACCCCAAACGGCCCCAGGATTCCCAGCCCAGACACCCTAAAGTAGTTTAGGGGTTTAGGGAGGATCCAACAAATGGAACCCCCCAAGAACTCCCTAGTTTCCCCATTGTTGTAGTATTGGGGGTCATTTTGGGAGGCTCCATTTTTTGGGATCCTTTAGGGGGTCTGGGAGGTAGTTCAGGAATACATTGCCAAGAAAAGGTCTTGGGCCATCTGACGACCGAAAGCACTGGGGATTTCATAGGGATTTCATGGGGATTTCATAGGAATGCGCAAGCAGTTCAAGCGTTCTTGGATACCTGCGGCTGGCGCAGTGAACCTAAACCCTACATAGTAGTTTCCATTCTCGTTTCCATTATCCCATTATAACCCCTATACCTACTTAAGGGGGACAATACCCTAAACCCATACATTGTTGACAAGGACAGCATCTCGTTTTCACTGACTTGACTGCACATGTTTCTCATGTACTGTTGCGCTCAATCACTGCCTGGAAACCTCGCTTCAGGAAAAAGAGCTTAGGATTTTATGCAGGTACGCTGGGATGGGCAGTCCAAGTATGCTGAGGACACCATACGGGGCTTCGCTGGGCTGATCTTTCTGGGCCGCCTCTGCCTCCTCTTCATTACAATCATAGCAAAATTACCCTTGGTGATACGGTTTGACACAAACACACAATTTCGCTCATGCTTTGGAACTTTTATTGCACGCATGACATAGGCACTACCAGTGCAATGCTAGGAGACTGTTATCAGCCGGCAGTATCCAATGCAAACCCGCAAGATTTGGGCATTCGCCATAAAAACTCAGGCTCAAAAACAATGCCCCTCAGCAGGCCGCTTTTGCAAATTGTCACCCCAAGGGGAACTGACTGATCCAAGCTGAACCCAATCTTAATCCGCGTGTGCCTCAAGAAGCTCTTCATGTCACCAGCATAGCTCTGCTTAGCAGGGGCTTCTTCCACGATCTCCACGTCGACCGGCATGGGACCTCCAACGGAGAGCTGTCTTTGCAAGGGCTCGCAGAGTGGGCCGCTAGGGGTAAACACCTGCATGGTAGAAGCACAAAGGAAGGCATCTGTGCTAGGGTTCAGGGCCTTGCGTGGAGAAAGTAGTAGAAAGAGTGTCCACTTTCGACTGAAACCCTCAAGGTTTTCGTCGTTGGGAACTAGCTTCGAATCCTTCCTGACCCTGGTCAAGCCCGATAAAAGTACGCATTTTTTGGCTCCAACCAACACCCAAGGGATCCAAATAGCCCAATGTAGGTAATATTTACAGACTTTAGAGGCCCAATGTAGGTATTACTTGTATACTCGGACCCATAGGGACAGAAGAGATGGTTTGACTACCAGCCCGGCCTAGGCGGTTGGACCTCAAAGGACCTGCGTTCGTCCTGCGCGGGAGAGAAACAGGTCCTTCTTGGACCAAACGAGCTGCGGCGAGCGCCATGATTTAGCGTTTCGGGTTTAGGGTTCAGGGTTTAGGGTCCGTTTAGGGTTCAGAGTTTAGGGTTTAGGGTTCAGGGTTTAGGGTTTAGGGTTCAGGGTTTAGGGTTCAGGGTTTAGGGTTTAGGATTCTAAGGACTTTAGGAGGGACCCCTAATAGGGACCCTTGTAGCTTATGGGGGTTGATATGGGGACTACCTAAAAGATATAGAGGTTATATAATGACTCTATAAGGGTTATATATGGTAATGGGGTTAAGGGTCCCTATTAGGGGTCCCTCCTAAAGTCCCTAGAATGATGTGAAAAATCCTGGCCAGTTTAGCCCTGCCCGCTGGTATTAAAAATCCAGGAAAGTAGGCCAATCTAGGATTGTCTTCTATTTAAACGTAGATGTATAAATAGAGGTATAAGATATATATATATACACATACATATGTCCATGTAAACCACCATATTTGAAGTGAGGTCGGCATAATTCGCCCAGTTGCGAGGCCACACAACTGTGCTAGAAAACTCAGAATTTTTCGTACAGTGAAACCACCAGTCACTTCGAGGTCGCGTGAGGTCACTATGATTTGACCATACAACCTGAACGAGACTCGCGACGGTTTCCGATGAGGTGACTGGTGATTTGAGCAAGTACTGTGGTTTCTTCGGGCTTCAAGGCGCGAAGCCCGGGAAAGGTAAACCCTAAACCCTTAAACCCTAAACCCATCTTGAACCAAGGGTCACTGCTACCAGCCCTGAGCCCCATGCTGAATGTTGAGCCCAGCTTGAATGGTGTTGTCAAACTAAAGTGGGTTGCTGCTAAGGAACTTAAATCAAGTTGCTATATTAGGGAAGCCATATGAATTAATGTATATACCTATTATAGTAACTTATTTTAAACTCCCTGACAGCGACCCAGTATGCTTCTACCGGTTCTGTACGGATTCTGCAAGGCTTTCCACAAATGATTGGGGTGTGATGGCTCAGAATTAGCCAGTTGTGGAAAAGAACTTTTGGAGGTGTTGACTGAAGCCCAAGCCTACTTGCACTGGTCCATGCCAATCTTGGCCTACGATGCTTCGCCTGGTTGAAGTCAGCAAGCGTTGCGGAAAGTACTGCCTTGAAACCCCTGTGAGGCTTGTTCAGGAGTTGCCCAGAAGCTGAGAGTCACAATTACATATGCCTGGAATTGACAGAACGCAACCTTCTAACACATGTACAGAGAGAGCAAGACAGGAAAACATCACTTCCTGAGTGCCCTGCCCTCGCACATGTGCAGGAGCCCGAAAATGGTCTCTCCACCTGAGGTGGGAGGCATTTGATAAACTTAACCGAGTCTCGTTTGATTCACCTCCCCAAACTAACGTGGAACCCAACGTAGCGGCTTTTCCTGGGAAAGTCGTCCTGGGTGTTGATATGTCGTACCATGAGTGGTCCAGCTTTCCTCAGCCTTCTCAAGCTTCTGTTACAAGACCCACCCCAATGAGGTCAGAATATTTGACAGCCCTTGCGCAAGCAGTAGACACACTGGGTTCTGACTGCCAAAATTATGATTTCCGAAAATCGTGAGTCACATTTGGGATGTTGCTATAAATAAGGAGTCCCGACATCCTTGCATACTTAGGGAGGACGACGGTTTCAACAGCTGCCCACCGAAATCCTATCTAAACCCTAGGCCTGAGTGCAACCACCAGAAACCCTCAGCCCTCCACCCGATATGGGCGTTTCCTACACGTACGACGTACGTGTTGCTTTTTTGGGGTCCCTGTACGAAAGATTATTGTATCCTGAGGTCGATATTGGGGCCTTAATGAGGATCCTTGCGGCCCGCGCGGGGGTTATGTGGGGACCTAGGTATAGAGCATCAGATATGGCGTGCAAAAGCTGTAGCCGATCCCTAAGCCTGAAGCCCCAAGCCCTTGACCCCAGACAACTGCACACCGGGCAGCACATGGCGCGGCACCCGCCAAGGTGAAGCACCCGCAGTCGAAAACAATGCCGGCCTTTAGTAAAGAGCAGTTTAAACTCAGGGCTTACGTAGGCTGTTTTTGGAGCTGAAGTAGGGTGGAGACAAGAAATCCTGCAGCACTGATCGTCCCAGAATGCTGCGGCTCCAAGGGCGGACGGTGTATGAGGTGGCGGGTGCAATGCATTCCGTGCAATTTTTTCCCATCAACAGCATTTTTCAACAGTAGGGCTCCCTTAGCCACTCTCAAAGTGATGTATTCCTTCCTGAGATCTCTGTCCAGGACCAAGAAAAAAGCGGATCTTTAATGTCACAAAAAACTCTCCGAGCGGTCTCACAATCTCACAGCTGCAAAAGGACATCGAATAGGGTCAGCTAACATCATCAGGTGTCACCTCATGGCATTGCAATCTCTAGACTCTAAATCTCATACCTTCAAGCTCCCAACATGCTCAGGCCACCTGCAAACTGCCGAAGTTGTTGGTGTTCGGTACATGGCCCCTCCTTGCGAGCTCCCAGGGCCCCAGCGGAGAAACCAGCAGCAGCGGTCTGAGAGTAGGCGCTGATGGTCGGCACGAACTTCGCCTTGGCTCCCATGCTGAAAGGCAGCCGCTGAAGGACAGTCTAACACTTGCAAAGAAATCATCTTTGCCGCTGTCGCCCTACATGCCACTTTGAACCATCATGCAACCCCGAGAAAAAATATATTTATGTATTTCCACATCTTCGGGCTACAAGTCGAAGTAACTCAGATCGTCGACAAGCCCATCCTGTAAGCCGCCTGTTGGAGCGCTCAAGACAAGACATGCAGCCCAAACACGAAGGTTGCGCACCTGCGCGAGAATGCCGAACCTCAGTTGTCGTTTTGGGACTCCAGGATTCCGACTCCGGGAATTGTGTGGCTGGTCCTGGTAGTAAGCCTTCTGCTATAGTACGGCGCCAACCCGGAGAAAACATCTCGCCGTTCTACACAGCTTTAATAGCTCCGACCTGATGTTTCAAGCCTACATATGATATCCTAGGGATCCAACTCGCCCAATGTAGGTAAGATTTGCAAACTTTAGGGCCCATGTAGGTATTATTTATATATTTGGATGACTTGGGATGTGAAGAAACTAACATATCCGTAAGGGCCTTTGGCTTGGAGTTCTGAAGCCCCTTGCGTCGAAATGATTATATCATAGCATGGGGGCTGTTCCCACTATGTAAGCCAACATGCTAAAAAGACTCATTGCGGGAACTCCTTGAGAAAAGACCCTGATTGTTGTTGGAACCTTCCTTTGGTTCCCTCAACTTAGCAGTAATCAGTCGCACGTAGTTGTACTGCCCAGCCCTCTGCAGTGTAGGAATAAAAGCAGCGAAGTCTACACCTGCTTCCCTGCAAGCGTGTTGCATTCGGGCATGTATTTAATTCCCACCATCCCCAAGTCAAAAAAAAAAAAACCCTCACTACCACTCCACGCTCTGGGGCTCCCTGCATGTCGTCTGTCAGCCAGCACTTAGCCTTCTGCGCCCGACTGTGGCCACGAAGATCCACAGCCCGGAGCCTGAGCCGCACCAAAACCAAGCCCTAGGGATCGAAATGACTCCTTGTAGATCAGGGTTTAGGTGTTAGGGATTAAGGGTTAGGCCCAAGGGATCCACATGGCCCCATGTAGATCAAGGTTTAGGTGTTAAGGATTAGGGTTTAGGTGTAGGGTTTAGGGGTTGGGGATTAGGCCATAGGGATCCAAATGGCCCAATGTAGGTAATATAGGGTTTAGGGTTTCGGGCTTAGGCTTCCAAATCATCTAGATGATGTAGGGCTTAGGGCTAGGGATCCAAATAACCCACATGTAGGTAATATAGGATTTTAGGGTTTAGGGCTTTGGGATCCAAATGACTCAATGGAGATCATAGTTACAAACTTTAGAGCACATAGGGCTCAGGTTTTAAGCGAACTTTGAGGTCAGCATGTATTGCAAAGGATCCCCACCAACTCACACAGTCGGCTTAATTTCACACGCGGAAGGTGCAGGAGTCCAAGAACAGGGTTGGAGATAGGCCCCATGCAGGGTAGGTTCGAGGCTCTGTAAACATCGATTGTCTATGGCTTTGATTCAATGTAAGGATTGTACATCTATTAAGGCTCGCTTCCGGACATCTGGAATCATAAACGGCCAGATATTTGCAGGAGAGGTGAGGGACTCATGGCCCAAACCCCCACCCCTCTCCTGCAACTGCGACTGAGCTACTCAGAACTGAAGACCAGAACCTGCAGCCTTGAATCCCTATGATTCCCCTCAAGCAGATAGAATATGGAATTGCCCAACATCATAAGGAGATCCCCACATCCCTCATATGTTTATCTACTTTAGGGGGACTATACACTGAAAGGTGGCCATCTGCTGCCCGGAGACTGCTTGAGCCGACCCAGAGGCACCAACCTGGACCGCTCGAGCTGAATCAGTCGTATATCATGTTCATGGGTTTTTGAGCGTATATAGGGTTTAGGGTTTGGACGTGCGGTTTAGGGTTTAGGGGCTTTACCCTGAGGATCCAAGGATACAAATAGTACCTGCGTTGAGCCTGAGTTTAGGGTTTGGGGATCCA